TGGTTCGCCGTATTCAGCATTCTCATCGAGCTGTCTCTCCACATGTGGACCCACAAAACCAACAAATACTGCAAGGACTCCTGTCTGAGGTACCGGTCTCCTCTACACATTCTGTCTTCCCAGTTCTGTGCACTATGCAAGTCTAAGAGAAACACGCAGAAGATCAGTCGGTTACAAGACGCCAGGGCACTCAAGGTGTACAGTAGAAAGCCTAAGTATTGTACCTATGTTGAAAGAGTAAGTGTAGTGACATGAGAAACAGAATCAAGTTCATCAAGCTTTCTTTCTTGCAAGCTATTATTATGAAAAGCTATAAAAAAGGTGGTTACATCATCATATTAAAGGTGATACAGTTGTGTAATGTAGAGTTTTGTTCAAAAGTGCCGACTGCGCTAAGAGAGCTGGCAAAGTCTTCTTATGTGAGAACTGAAGTGAATAACTTTCAGCTGGCCTGCAACTATATGAAATAAAATACATATTTCTATTTTTTAGATATGTGATCAACAGTGCAATGATTCAATAGTACATGTTTAGAACATGATCTACATAACCTCAACAGCTGAGAGACAGCATCATTAAAATAACTATAACTGAATAAAGGTGTTCATGTTATACTTGTGATTTATAAATATATATATGTTTCACGCAAATAATACTTGGGGAAATGGCAGAATATATGACCAAACATAAATACTTGCTGTATCTTACCAATAAGAAAAAAGAATAAAATCAGCTACAATACCCTGAAAAGAACTCAAAATGCACTTTTTTAAATGAACATATTTCAATACATTCTGATGTACTGATATGTATATTTTCGGAATTCAATCATGAAACACGTAGTTTTAACTTACAAAAAATTTAAAACACTTAAATTGTAATAATAACTTTACAAATACATTTTCTGTGGTAGTTTTCACCATTATAAATAACACTAATTATCAACCGGAATAACTGTTGGTAATAAAAATAAATTACACAAAGGGCATTTTTTTTAATTGCAGGACTAAACCTCACTCGTACTGATACAAGGTCCTGGCCAATACTGTTATCAGATTGCAGATGACATTTTCAGTAGAATGAGACAAATATGCTTCGGTTGATTCCCGTCTCAAATCTCATTCAACATTTATAAACATATTTGAATATAATAAAGTGTTTGTATGTTTTCAGACTGCATCAAAACACATGGGGCAGTACCTGAGCTGAAACAGTTTAGTAACAGTTGAACTGTGGCAATGCCAATATTTGTCTTATTGTTTTATACTTTACAGGAATGAGCAGAAAACAAATAAATAACTAAAGGCAACGCAAATATTAGAGAATAAGGCATGTCGCTTATTTTTGTAACAACCTGCACTACAGTACTGTCAAGAAGCAATTGATTGCAGGAAGTTAACATTAAAGTGTATCTTAAAGAAACAGGGTGAAGGGATCTGGATTTGATTAATCTGACTCAGGACAGGATCCAATTATGGGATCATGTGAACATGACAATGAACGTTCAGTTTCCATAAAAGGCTGGGAATTTCTTAAACAGATGAGGAACTACGAAGTTCCCGAGAATGACTCTGTCACACAGAGTTAGCTGCATATGCAAACTGAATCATTGGAATTACGGGAAATGGAAATTTCTGTTTCAGTTCTCAATGTACAAAGGGACAAGGGAGTGAATAAGTGAAGGATTTCATTATGACAGATTATTTTTGTGATCTGTATCAATATGAAACATCTTCCATTTATTTTCCATCCAATGCAATTGAAGGAGTATCATAAAAAATCCCACTTTGTTCAACACACAACGAACTCCATTTCCTTTATAAAAATCCCATAAAAGTCATCTTAACACACTAGATTAAGCTAATATAAGCCATCAACTTTGTTCAATTTCTTTTCACAAATTTCCTATTCTGTAAAATACGTAAAAAAACTGAATACAAATTCATGCTGTATAAAAATCCTACCCATGTTTAGATACAATCAGTGAAGAATTTGATTAGTTAAAAGTTTTGTAATATTCTTACAGATCACCATAGTTCATCTCACAAACATAACAGCCTTCACATTTTTCCCCTTGAGAAATTCTGTATTTCATGTCGTCAGTATAATGAACACTTAGTCCTGTGGTTCCAAAACATGGCTGTGCATTCATCTTTCACTGAACTGTACTGCAGCTTTTGACAGTGGAAATGATCCACATAACAAAACTGGCATACGGTTAAACAGCGTCTTTATTTTTTGTTTTCACTACTGAGTCACATATATATATTTACCTTAACATAAGATAAGATTCTAAATTCACAACTTGAACTTCTGGCTGTCTGATTATAAAAATAATAGAAAACAAACAAAAACCTTTTACTATGACAAATGCTTATGTCACCATCAATATAAAATACTCATTAATACCAGTGAAACAACAAACATTAATTACATGCATTTATTTCATAATTACATTAAATAATGGGTGAAAAATATGGCTCAGCCTTAGAATTAGGGAAACAGGAATATGCTCATGAATTTTTATCTCTGAGAAAAGGAAATGTCTTATATAAAGGCAAATATGGTATTTTAAGCTGTCATATGAACAATTCAATTTAATCTACTTGTTTAATTAACATCTATACTGCACAAATATACAATTCTGTCATGAAATTGCAGTAAAACATTATGACATCATGCTAGTTTGGTATCAGTTCATCTCTTCGTTATTTCAATCATCAGAGAATTATTCACTTTTCATATGGACCACCATATTACAGCAGCAAATTTCAGCTGTTCTACAGCTAGATACAACATCTTATGAAAGAAACTTAAAAACTCACCTGTTTATTACCATTAACCACTTGACAAGCAATGAAATCTGGCAGGCATAAAACTTCACCTAAGCTGCAGTATTTCCTTCGATGCAACTTTACATATAAGACTGAAGTCAGAGTTAAGGTGCGCTCGCCAAAAACGACACCGACCCCACACCTGAGCTGGAAAGCACGGGCTAGGAATTCCATGGAAAATTCTTGCCACTGACCGGCCAGTAAAGCTTGTATCACGATACATACATACCAGGCTGCGAACATCTGCAACCACTTGTTCCTCATTCATCAGAATTTCCTGCAAAAAATATGTCATCTGAAGCAATTAGTATGGTCTTTTCTCATACTAGTTACTTATGTGCACAGTTTCTGAACTGCCAGCAATCAGAGCAAAGTAATAACAAAAGCAAGATGAAATGTCCTCCTATAGGAAGATGGAAAATAATACAAGTAAATGACATAGAATTTTGCAGTCAGGTTTAAAAATTAATTGGAATACAATTATTAGCAGAGTAGAGAGAGACATGCAAGAAATTAAATGTAATAAAAAACACTGAAGAAAGTTAACAGCTATTTCATTGAGCAGAGTAGAGAGAGACATGCAAGAAACTAAATGTAATAAAACACTCTGAAGAAAGTTAACAGCTATTTCATTAATGCTATGTAGTTGAAACTACTTCAAGTGTTGTTGGACAAACTACAAATAAATAAACAGGTACTCATATTTAGGTATTAAATTTCATCAAATGAAAATACCAAAATAAAATTACGCCGAGAAAACAAAGAGCAGGAAAAGTTAAACTCACAAACACTCAGCAATAACCGGAAGTTACAAATTAATTTTCTACGAAGCATCAAAATAACATAAAATCTAAAATCAGCAGTTGGTAAGATTAAAGACAAAATGGTGCAAACATGAATTACACATGAGAAATACATAAATGACCTTTGGGGACAAGAACATCTTGTTTTTTGAACATGTATTAAGTTTTTACTTAAAAAAGGTTACATTTAATGTTCTGATAATTTATTACAGTAAACAGCATGACTGCAGGATATGAATGGCAAGTTCGGTCTATTTTAAAATATTAATTTGGCATGTGCCTGGAGAAACAGAGGAATATATGAAAAGCCAGAATTACATTATACAATCTGTGGCTTGGATTCAGATCAAGTATCCTGCAAATAAACATGATTATTATTACCTCCTTTGTTTCTGCTTCCACAATGCTCTGCTCTTGTTCAAAATATCTTCGTATCATTAGCTTCAAGTTTTCATTACGATCCATGTCAACTTCGTCTCTGCATTCAGAGCAATTCACATACGATACACTGAAAAATATGACAGAATAAAATCAGAATTTCTGTATCACCTCTCAGACAGTAAATTTAAAATCTTTTATCACAACGCAGTTCAAGTCTTTTTAGGTTTACACAGCATTAGAAATGTCTTAACTGAGGATACATGGAAGCCATTTGTATCGAAGAGCAATAATTTTGGTATCCTCAAGTGTCAAAATGAAAGCATGAAAGTTTGATTGTGTTTCAAAATTGTACTAGTTTCCTATACAATTCCTGCTAGCCTCAAAAAATATTAACTTTTTATCCTTTTATGTCCAGCAAACATCCAAGAACTATTGAATATCATGCACCCTTACCTCATGAGCACTTCAAACACCGTTTTCAGCTGCAGCAATGAACACATCTCCAGATTCTTTACATGTCCATATAATGTGTCCAATGCCTCATCTAGTTCTGATGCAGAAAGATTGCCTGGTGCCAGAACACGGAAACCCAACTCATACAACTCCACCGTGATTCCTGTACGACGCCACTTGTCATTCACTGCAATCATTAAATGGAGCTTCCATACACCATAGTAAAACCCTTCAAACCCTAAAGTTTTAAGCAGAAATGTATGTATGTGTATATATATATAAAAATAAATAAAAAAGGACAGTGAAATACAGATAAAACATATTTCAGTACTACATTCAATAAACAGAAACAGCAAAGTGGCGATATATCCTTATTTTATAACACCATCTTTATTTAAACTTGGGCTATGCCAATGGGATTGGATTCTTTCAGTGTTCTGCTGTAGGCAAGTGGCTAACAAATTGGAGCATTATCACTGTAATTTAATTTCCAACATTACTTCTTGAAAATAACATGTTCTAAGCGATCACTGCTGCAATTTAGACACCGTTGTAACCAATGCCTCAAGTTCTCTATCACTCACTGCAATAAATGAACATCATTTCTTCTGAAAGTCAGTTCCTTGAAAACAATTTTCAAATTTCTTAGTCTTTAGCTAGCACCAAAGCAAAAGCAGTGGTTATATTGGGAGACCTTGGTGGCCATGTGACATCTCCAAATATTACAATCAGTCTGGAAACATTCTCCTCAGTATATTCAAAGCCTGTCTTGAATGGGCAATAACTGCAGTAATTAAATTTATATTTTTAAAGCACCAACTTGTTAACTACTTACAGCAAGACAAAAATGCAAATTAAATGAGGTTGCTTGTCCTTAGGAGTATGGAAAGTGAAGACACAACTGAGGTAATAAAACTTTCGCTCGTTACACTTCATGCACTAAAACACAGTGGATAAAGATAAAGGGCAACAACACATATACTAAAATTGACCAGCAAAGTAAACTGCATTTACAGTGAAGTCTCTAGTTCAAACTTATAATGAGATAATCCACACAAAGTGTAAAATCATGCATATACTCATGATACTTAATAAGTGCTGTTTCTTACATCAGACATCAATAAACCTGGATCATTATTTGATACATGCTCCTCAATAATTCCTCTTATCCACTATGTATAATTAAAAAATAATACTCTTTGTTGCTAGAAGTAACAAAGTTTACTCCCACTGTATAATGTATATTTTTTTATTTGTAGTGTTCTGTCTGACGACAGGTCCATATATTATGAACAGGATCCTTCCAACCTATTCAGGTTGTCAGGGACCTGCTCATACATATATACATTCTTGGCAGAGATGATCAGAATGGTTTGCCATTGCCTTTTTCTGTATGTGAGTGGAGTAATTGTTGGGATGCCACGGAGAAACCGGGGAAGCCGGAAAACTCCGTGATGCTTAGACCACGGCCTTGCCCAACACAAGTTATAAATTTGAGCACCACCGGGAATTGAACCCGGGACCCCAGGCTTACAAGGCTAGTGTTCTGACCGCTAGACCACCGATCTCAAAAATTAATAATCAATAAGGTTTCAATTCCTAGAATTAAAATATGATGATTCTTAAGATAGTAGGATTATCGGTGTTGAAAAATATTGTTTTGTGGTCGTGTACTTCAATAAATGCATATGGATCTATATTATTCTGGACATTTTGTCTTGTGCTGAAGCTGTGCTTGGCGGGCAAGCGTTTGAACTACAATCCCAACAAAGCTCCACTCATCTAGTGCCTATGATATGTGAAAAGCACAACCAATAGGCATATAGTCCTCTACTCGAGTTTCACCTCTGACAGACACTTGCCTGGATCCAAAGTGATGCGGATAACCTTTAGAATGCTAACAAACAAAAATTCTATTCCAGTGTTACCTTTGGTCCATTCCAGGCTTTTCAGATGCTTCTTCACAATACCACTGTCCCAACCAATGAGTGATGCAATATCCACCACAGGGAACTCTATCTTGCTACTGCCATCATGTGATATTCCACGTTTCTGATCAAGCGCAATTGCCATAGCTAGTGGAGGACTCTATTTACACAGAAGAATAGAAAGCATGTAAATGCTACTGTCAAGACACACTTCGATAACTCTAAACTGAAAAAGTTTAAAGCAGTTCATAATCACACATATATTTATAGTATCCCTTGAATCAACATGACATAAACAACATGGAATAAATGCCTTCTTAAAGGAAATAATTTTAATGTGAAACATTTTATATTATCCTGCAACATTTATGAGATATATAACTGTGAGTAGTACAACCAACAAGGTTACAATGGATCACATGTGTAGCTTGAATGGGAGGGGCAAGAAATGCCAAAGGATTTAAGTGGCGAGACCTCCTGAAAATTGGCCAACATTAAGATGGATCTTATGGAAATGGGTTATGATGGTTAAAGGTGGAAGAAAATGGCTTCGTTCATGTATAATGGTAGGGTTTGTTGTTTGAAATTTTGAACTTCAAGGTACTACTAAACAATTATGTAGTTTGTTATTAGTATAACATACTTACAAGTTTGGCAGCTGCCTTTAAGGCACTCGGTCCTTTGTAGCTTATAACTTTGCACCTTGTATACACTAGGGGCATGACTTTGATCCACTTCCTGCGATCAAGCTCCAGATAACAAAGCAATGTAGATATATTCTCTTGCGGCAGATCCAATGCTTTCACTGTATCATCTACTGAAAATGCCATCTCATGACCAGGGCAATTAATTTGATTCCTAACAGGACCCTTATTCCCGTGATCTTCCTCTGCATTCAAGGGTGTCTCTGTGGCATTTCTTATTTGTACAGGAGACTCCTTCTGTGTAATATCCTCACTGAAGTCCACACCTTCAAACAACTCTGCAATCCGCAGACATTTGCAAGGAACAAATACTCGTTGCAACAGTTTGCGAATTATGTAACGATCGACAGAGTCAGCATAGATGTGACGGCGAAGTTCATTTAAATCTCCACCATCAGAGTCAAGAAAGAGATGACAGTGTGCTGGCAGACCATCACGTCCAGAACGACCAACCTCCTGTACGTAGCTCTCAAAGTTACGTGGCATGTTGTAATGGATCACAGCTCGTATATCACTCTTATTTATCCCCATTCCAAAAGCCACTGTAGCCACTACAATACGAAGCTGACCTATGGAAGAATGATGACATAAAATAAATAATTTAATTTGCATATAATAATAATAAATAATATATTTTACCAATAAGTAAGTTTTTTACAAAACTTTTGGAATCATTCACCTTTTAAGAAGAGTATATATGAATACATTAAATGACAAAAATTACTATTAAGTTGGAGAAGATTTCATAATTTTGGATTTAAGATATCTGTACACAGTAAAAGTAAAGTTTGTCCCACTATACGCCATGTAGGCGTTTGGGGTGAGAGGAGGTATAGCTCCTCTCTTCCTTGACCTCGGCACTAGATGGGGGTGAGTGGTCAGCATCACGCCCCGGCCGGCTTTACCCCCGGGAAAGGACCCCGGTACCCATTGTAGAGGAGGCTGGGTGGGCCCCAGAGCCGGTCTGGACGCAGAGGCTAGAGGAAAAATCCTCTGCCCCCGTCGGGGATCGAACCCCGGTCGTCCAGCCCGTAGCTAGTCACTATACTGATCTGTACACAGTGCACTTTTGGATTTAAGATATCTGTACACAGTGCATGATACTTTATGAGGACTCTATAAAGAGTTTGTTTTGACTTTAAATATGACAGACTTACCAGACATGAAAGCTTTCTGAACTTGCTTTCTACGAGCTGCACTGAGTCCAGCATGGTAAGGTTCAGCATTCCACAACAATGTTCGACCTCTTCTATTGCTCACAGGTCTTTTTTGATCCTGCATGATTTACATAAAGGTAAATGTAAAATTGCCTATACCTGAGCATTATGTCAAAAATGAGGCAAATATGAGGGACTGATGGTAGAACTACTTTCATTCAATATCTTGGCACTACATGGAGGTGAGTGATCTGATTCACTCTAACTGCTTTACCCCTCAAGAAAAAATTCCCAATAACCATTAATTAGTAAGAAGGTAGGGTGAGCCACAGATCCAGACGGGTGATAAGAATTCTCATAACACGTCTGTGATGAACAGTGTGTGAATCCCAATAATTCCCACGTATCCTCATACCTGGAGACACGTTCTGATGAGCCTGGCAAGCCGCTCGCACTCATCCCGTCGAGTGCAGTAGATGATGATGGACTGACAAGACATGAACCTCTTCCCCTGTAACAGCATAACTAAAGCCTTGTCCCTAAATTCATCTCGAGATACCGACAAAATCAGGTTGTTCGGCAATGGCACATCTTTGATTATACCCTGCTGTCCATCTGGAATGTTGAGATGTGTCACAATGCTGGAACAAGTTGTCTTAGTGGCTGTTGCTGTCAGACCTAGCACTGTCTTCACTCCAAGTTTCTCTTGTAGAACCTGCACCACATGAAATACAAAGTCAGAATCTCAGTAATTACAAGATTTTTTCAAGGTACAGTGATACATAGTTCACATATGAATTAACTAACTCAATGCAGGAGAGTCATACTTAAGCTAGTAATTGCTCACCTACTCAATTATTTGCCTGTTATAGAAATCTAAGTTTCAGTACCATGTCCACAAGAGCCAAACAAATGCAGTCCACCATAACCACATCCCATTTCTTGAAGATCAAATTTAAAAACATGAACTTGGTCTACCAAAAATGGTCTCTTCCACTTTCATTTAATACATCATATATTTTCCAACATAATACACAAATACATACACATCTAAAGATTTCCTTTATTTGAAGAAGGGAATAAGTCAACAATCAGGACAAGTAGTACTAACCTTGCATATTACAAGATAGGAAGGACGAAAGTTGTGCGACCACTGCGAAACACAATGTGCTTCATCAATGCAAGCAAAAGCAATTCCAGGAAGTTCTTTTAATATACTGCCAAATCCTGATGCCCTCTCTCCAGATACAACTGTCTCTGGAGAAACCAAAAGGACATTTAATCTTCCAGACTTTGCCAACTCGATCACCTTCTGACGCTGTAGTGGAGTTTGATTTGTGTGCAAGCAAGCAGCCTGAAGACAAGATGCAACTCCAGTCACCTACAAAAGAAGAAGAAGAAGAAAATCAAGAGATGTTTAAAAAATCTTCACTTCTCATCAATTGCTGTCATACTGAACAAACTCAATACGCAGTTTGAAGATTTCCATCTTCTGGGTTGTTGCGCTGTGTAGTCTGGTCAATGTTAACCAACGTTTCAGAGGTCATACTGCCTCCGTCATCAGGGCGATGAATATTCATCGCCCTGATGACGGAGGCAGTATGACCTCTGAAACGTTGGTTAACATTGACCAGACTACACAGCGCAACAACCCAGAAGATGGAAATCTTCAAACTGCCTTCTGCAGAGAGATGAACCCCTCTATGTACCTGTTTGTTAAATATAGCATTCTCATGGCGAATGATGTCTGACAGTTGAAAAAGACACGCATGAGCACGTTCTGGCTTGCCTGCTACAATGCTGCTGTATTTGCTTCTGTCCCAGAACTATCTGAAGCTAGTACACATATGATCATATATATTTTTAAATGGGAATCTTCTCTGGGTGGACAATACAAATTGTAAACATATCAACATCTAAAATAGAGACAGACAAACCTGATCTTCCATGAGAGAGACAAGGGGTGAGACAACCAGCGTTATACATCTGTTGTTCTGAGCGAACATATAAGCAGGAAGCTGATAACAGAGACTCTTGCCTGCACCAGTCGACAGTGTAACAAGGGTTGATAGCCCCGAGAGGATGCGCATCACAGCTTCCTCCTGACCTGGTCGGAAACCATCATGACCGAACTGTTCCAATGCCTCGTATACTTCGGGCGGAGTATCTTTAAATCAAGCATACACAACACAAACTATTGTTAAACATTTGTTTACTGTTTCCTAGGACCAATCACACACTGTTCTGCAACAAACCTGATTAAATCATTAGTAGTAAACCCTGATTTAACACTGTTACTACCACTAATGCCCATCACCGGACATAATCCCACAGCCTACTTCTATCCACCTCTCATTCTCACAAATTATTTTCCTAAGATACATTTTAATGTTGACACCCCAACTTCTCAGTTATCTAATTGGCTGTTTTATAACATTATTTTCCTGCCAAACTTCTGTATGCATCTGATATTCCTCAACGTAAACTATTCTATCACTTAATGAGAACCATGCTGAACACCACCCACTCTCTGGGGTACATGACATTTCATGAGGTGGCTCACCAATTAATGTTCCATCTTCTTTCAGGTTATATAATGGCTCTATAATATTTGCTGAGAGTGAGTCTATGATATCATATGTTCCTGTATTCTGCTCATTTCCTTGTCGAGATGCTGTCAGACATGATGCTGCAACTTTTCTTCTGCTTCCATAAATGGGTGCTTCAACCTCTTCTAGGGTTGGGAATGGACTATCATCCTCGCCTTCCTCATCGTGTGGTAACAACTTGTCCTCTGTGTGAAGTAAACAGTGTACACAGAGGCATGTCTAAGGTGGTCATCATGGGGAGGTTGTTTTTAAAAATCAATAGAAAACAGTTATGAAATTAAGTATGTTGTCAACATAAATGTTTTTCCTTTCATAAACAATTTCTAGGTAAATTACACAAAAAATATAAGAGAAAAAATGAGGGGGGGGGGGGGAAGCAGTTGAAATACATAAACACTTACTTAACAACATAGCCCCGTTGATAGATTTTATTTCTATAATTTAAATCTCCACACAAGAAAATTGGTCTCTCTCCCCAGCATAAGACCACAGAGTGAGGGTGTTTTGAGGACAGGGTGCTGAGACAAAGAAAGCATCAGAGGATATTTAACATTACATGAGGTACATTCACTGACAATGAGGTGATCAAATAGAGGATGAGATGGGGAGAACTACAGACTGCACAGGGAAAATAAAAAGAAAAGTATGAAGACCTAGGTGTTGAAGAGGGGATAATATTAAAACAGATAAGAAACAGGTTTTGAGAAAATGGACTTGATTCACTTGGTTAGAACAGGGTTCAATGGCTAGCTCTTTGAGATTAGTAATAAATATTTGGATTACAAAGAACTGGGAAATTTCTTAATCAGATGAGAAAGTATCACCTTCTCAATAAGCACTCTGCTTTATGAGTGTGTTCACTTCTGCTATCATAAATCGATGAAGGCATTTACAGGACACTTGTTGCAGTTGGATAACAAAGTGGAAGAGAATGGTCCAAACAGATCCAAAATAACTGTTCTCAGATAGGTTTCTAATAAAGCCCTTGTATATTTTAACTTCCACACTTTTTATCAATGCTGGGCATCAACTTACAATATTTTGTTTTCTGTTTAAATCCAATGTGCAGTTTAACCTCAGTTATTAATAAAAGTCAATAGAGTAGCAGCAAGAAATCTTTCATACTAAATAAAAACTTCTATCTAAATCACTAACCTTGAGCATTCAGGCAGTTGCGTGCAAAGTGTCCAATATCACCACATTTAAAGCACTTCAGCAGCCCACTGCTACCAAATGCATCATCAACTGCTGAGCCTGACATATTTTTCTTCTTCTTCTTCCATTCAGCTTTCTTGTACTTTGAGTAGTTGTTATTCTTCTTCCCTCTTACATACACCTTCTTCTTTATATTGATACGAACAAAATTATCATTGGCTTGACCTGTAGACATCTTTTTCTCCAGTATTTCTTTCTTAGTTAACTTGTTAGACACAGCATGTTTTTTCTTTCCAACACATTTTTCAGTCGACAACACAGCTTCAGCTATTTTGTCAATGTCTGCAGTAGATGGTATTTCTAATAGTGGGTCATCTGCTGCCACTATTTTGGGTACATCATTTGAACAAGTCTTTTGCTTTTTGGTTAAAGGTTTGGATGGAACTAAATCTAAAGAATTACGTTTTCTTTTACTGCCACAAGCTATCCTCATCCTTGTGTGATCTTCATGTTCAGATTCGTCACTATTACAAATAATATCTTCATCGCTATCATCAGAGGCAGCTACTGTCTTTCCATTTCCATTGTGAATAACATCTGGAAGAGTCAAATACTGTTCAGACTTCACATAAAGCAGCCGTGGCACAGCATCAGAGACAGACTGCGGCAGTCTTGGTGTACCTTCTGTACTGGAACACTGATCAGTAACTGTGCTTGATTCCATTGACTCAATACCTGAATCATTCACTGGTGTTACTTGATATTCCAAACTATTAGAATTGGTACATCTCTGGAGCCAACCTTTGTCAACTGTCCTTGATGGAATTAACTTCTGCTCATGTGACTCAGCAGTCAATACAGCTCTATGGATTGCACTGACAGATTGATTTGTAATGGGACTGGAGTTAGTGACAACTTTGAACTTCTCTTCTATCAGCCCCTCGAGAGAAAACTGTAACTTAATATTTTGTTGAGTGCCACATGATAGAAGCTCTGAAGACATATTCTTGTCCTCACAAAGCACAGGAACTGGAAAACCATCATTTTCAACTGATTTGCTAGGTCGTGAAAATGAACGTGATTTCCTTGGATTTTTTTTGCTAAATTTTGAGCCTACAAACAGTTTCTCAGAGAAGTGAAAAGAGCTAGAGCGTTGATTAAGTGTCTTCGTTCCAAGATCTGAGGCCTTATCTGATTTTAAATTTAAATGTGCACCCCAAACATCTTTCAGATCACCAGCTCTTTGATCATGTAGCCCATCTTTGATACATTCTTGCACAGCTGGAGCATTCTTTTCGTTGCCACATGCAATAGTGTCAACATCACTGCCATTCTGAATATCTGCTAATGCAATCCTATGCAGTCTACTATGGTCACTTTGATCCACGAGTTTGTCGGATTCTACAGATGCAACAGTATGTTTAATTTCTGATACATCTAAAGATGTATTATTTTCGCTATCATCTGAGAAAGTAATGTCCATAAGGGAATCTTGAAGTGCTAATGTTTTTAGCTTGTAGTAGGACTTGTATGCCTCTCTCACTTTCTGAGATGCTGCACGAATATCCACCTGAAATACAGAAGTTTTGTGTCCAATATATCGCCTATTCTAACTGTGAAACTAGAATACTTCTATAATCTAACGTATATATTATGATGTTCACTGAAGTCACTTAATTTTCTTGTGCTAACCTTAAACTAAGTTTGTCTGCTTACCTTCGAAGGATTTCGTCCGTGTTTTTTCCTAAATTCACTTTCCCAAAGTTTAACTTTTAACTTTGATTTCTGATATTTGAGCTTAAACGATGGATCTTCTAGCAATTCCATTGTCAATTGGTAATATTTGTTATTTTTATTAATACGATTATTAGTCAAAGATACAGCTGCAAGTTGAGGTTACGCAGTTCCCGCGCATGGACCAAGAGAATAGTGGGATTGCTTCCATTAGACTACTTTTCAGACGACTCCGTAGACAGCTATCCGGAATATATACGCAGCCAGTTCAAATCACCGTATATTTTCTAGACAAATTAAATTTGCACCTTATCAGACTGCGTCGATTTCAGGTACTCACAGCGAAAAGTATGACGATGAATTATAGGAATTACGTCGTGATGTCTGGTAGACAGACGTTTCGGAGGTGCTGTCTCCATCCGGACATTACCCTGAAACATCGGCCAATTTCTACCAGAGTACAATGCGCAATGTCCCAAAGACAGGAAATTCATGTTTGTAAAATTAATCATTCATGTATGAATAGAGGTGATGGTGGTTAAGTTGGATAATAGCTAACGTTGTTATCGACAAAGAAATGGTTGTTACTATGAATTAATACCAACTGCTACCGCCAGATTGATGTTGGGAAAGGATGATATCAGGTTCTCACGGCTGCCTAAAATATGGTAGAATAGTTCTTGGTTGGTGCTTCGTGTTGTGTTAGAAGCTTACCGGCGTTTGTTTTGGCCAGTTATGTATTATAATTTGGTTTTGTGCTGGCACTAACTAGCCTCTGCACTTGATATAACAGCATTAAATAACTTATGAACCATCAAACCAACCTACTTGTTACAATTTATGTGCTAGGTCAGTTGCCAATCCATTACATGACTGTCAAGGAAATGTCATGTTGTTGGTATAGTACAGTATGTATATAGAGGTGCTTTGAATCCCAGACAAAACTGGCTGTAATAAGGTTTTATGCAGTCTCGAGAATACTAGTGACTTTCATCTAAACCTTCAAAATGATGGTCTTCTGGGTTTTGCACTGTGTAGTTATCACCCTGATGGTGGAGGCAGCAAATAACTCAGATATGTCAGTAAATTGCTACTAGACTACATGGTGCCGCAAACCAGAAGATAGCTCTCTTCATACTCAATGCTGTGAAAACCTCAAATCCCACTTTGTTAAAAATTATATCCCTGTGTGGCACTTGACATTTATTTTGTTATGTGATATACTGTATTAGTCTAAACATAACTGTAAGAAAATACATTAATATATTAATAACGTACTGTACTAGTATAAACAGAAGAACATACATTAATTTAAAGTCCATGTAACTATAATAATCTATAATTCTTAATTTTTCTCACACAATATATTTGTGGGTTTTGTATGATTCTAACAATAAATAACAATTATTTTCTTAAAGAGCATTTACCAATCGATCTTTGAATGAGTAATGGAAAAGCACTGTTTTCTCTGAGGTAGGAACTGAATGTTTAAATATTACTTAGACAAAGGTGTTCCAAGTGCTGATCTTTGACTAGCCATCTACCTTCCTGAGATTTTCTGTGGTTTTCTTCAGTCCTTCAAGCAAATGGTGGGTGCAGTACAAGAAACAATGTTGAAATTGCTTCCTTGCACATTTCCACGTACCTCTCAGTTTATCCTGCCATTTGATATGTAAAACATGCATTTTATAATTTATCATTAAAACAAGGGGAACAAACAATAGTTTCATGATGGAACATTTATCTCTCATGCTGCTGTACCCATTCTCTTTTCATATGACTAGACTTCTTTTGCTATGCTTTGCACACAACCAAAATACTACACAGCACAAAAACCCAGAAGATTATTGATATTCACATTGCCATGAAGACTTTAAATCTTACATGATTAACTGTAGTGTGTATTGATCACATACAAGGAATGTCTGAAGTACTTCTTCTATATGTTTAAATGTATTTTATTTTTATTAAAACATTATTTAAGTTTTCAATAACCAAAAATAATTAATCACAAAGTTTAACAGTAAAAAAATATCTGCTTGGGAACATAAATGTATTAATTAACAATGAGTCTATGGAAAAAATGTCTTTGATTTATGTTTTAATGCTATGTGATGTTCTCAGGAATACAGCTACCATGTGGTCTGGGGGGGATGCCTGTACTGTTAAATGTGTTGTCAGGAACTAGTAGTACCATATAAAAGCTGCTTCAGAGATTCCTCATTGATCGTCTGAAGAGGTTTCGTGCTACATTCTTCCTTCTGGGTTGTTTTACTGTTGCTTTTAGAGGGTTCAGTTGAATTATTATCTTTCTGTGTGTTTGTATGCACTGCTGTATCATCAGAGTTGAGAAGAAATTGATACATACCACCATCTTCATAACTGAGTAATGTATCAACAGGGGAAGACAGTGTCATGTGCTTTAACTTTTCAGAGGGTGATGGTAAACCTTTGACTGATGGTGACATTACCATATTAAAAAAGTCAGTTGTTTCTACAACCAGATCTGAAATTTCAACTGACTGACTTATTTTGTTGGAAGACTTCCAAAAGTCAGATGAACTGCAAGTGGAATTTTGAAGTTCATTGTTTGCCGAAACTTGAAAATCACTTTCTTGCAGAAATACTGAATCATGAGCTGATTTATTTTCTGTGGTCACAGTACTGTTCTTATTATTGTTTTTTTCAAGAGAAAGCTCTTCCTGTGAATGTTCAGCATTCAGAGAAGTCACTTTTGATTTATGGTGAATAGAGTCCTTTGTATTGCAAACATCCATATTATTATTATTACCGTCTTCTAGAACATATTTACATTTATGTTTTTTTTGCTTATCCCTCTTGAAATCTGCTGTAGCCATTGTAATGTCTATGACTACTGGCTTTTGAGCCTTCGGCACATTTGTTTTCCAGTTCAATAACCCAATTTCTTCCTTCGTCTTCTGTGAATTAGTTCTTTGTTTATCCAGTTCAATAACCCAATTTCTTCCTTTGTCTTCTGTGAATTAGTTCTATGTTTCTTATCTGAGTCTTCACTGGAGTTAGAACATACTAGACGTGTATTGATCGATGGTGGATCATACACAGAACTGGGTGCCAACATTATATTACCTGCTGGGAACACTGACTGAACATCATTACCAACAATTATTGTGAACTGACTGTTGTCAGTTTGCTGGCTCTGATTCTGCTGCTGTGAAAACTGAAAGTCATGTGACTTATCTGAGGGTCTTTGGCCTGGTGGTGGTTGCTGTGTTTCAACAATTTTTCCTCTGTCATTATTGTTGACACTTGTTTGAGTGGGAATCATCTGGAAAAATTAATAAATTCAGTTCTGTTAAATTACAATTATGTAACTAAAAGAAAAGACAATATTGTAAGATGCTCTTTTCTGGATATATAATGGACACGTAAATCAGACTGGGGTAAAGAGAAATATATATAATGTAATGGTAAGGAAACTTCTTTTAGAGCAATTAGTATATTGAGAGGGGGATGGGATGATAATATTAACCTTCACCACACAGGATTTAATCTGCTATACTGTGGGACTAACAGGTAGAATGTAAAAGTTTAGAGGTAAGCTAATGCTACATGTGGCCAGCTGTAGTCCAGGTGAGAGTTGTTATGCATAACCAATAGAGAAAAGGTTCAAGTGGATCTTAAGTGGATAGGTTATAATGATATAAATTGGACTGAGTTGTCTTCGGATCATGTCCAGTTGTGGGTTCTGATATTGAACAGTGAACCTCAATTTAATGGATACTGGATTTTCTGTTTTATTGGATTTTGTCCACTGAAACTAAAAATGTCTTCTAATGACCACTGGATTTCTTCTTTGCACATAATTTTCTTTTCACACTGTAAGGTTTTAATGAACATTGTGTCATTGTAGGTGTCCACTTCATATCGCTGAACTGTTTAATGATGTTACTAATGGAAATTATGGTCTAAGGATGGATTACTAGCATTGTAAAAACAACTGTGTAAATTAACGGACAACCAGCATTATCAGACATCCCTCTCCCCTATTAGTCCATTAAATCATGGTTCACTATATTTAAATGTCAGTTTCTATTATCAGATAGTCATTGAATACTGAGGACAGGATGCAGGAAACAAGGAGGTGAAGGCAGATTTGGAAAAGTAAAATAAAAGGTAAAATGGGAAAGGACCCACATAATTTTCTGACTCTCCAAATTTTACACAAGCTATAAAAGTATGTTCTAATAATAATATAATATTGATAATATAAAATCAAGGATAATAACGTTATTAACACTATTACATAACCTGAAGCCATATCACAGTTCAGATGGCCAGATGTTGCCTTCTGGGTTTAATCACAGGATAATCCTGACAGGAATTTTGGTGGACAAAATTTCCCTTGCAGATTTTTTCTCTGAGTAATTTACGTTTCTCCGACCAGTCATCATCCCACAAATGTTCCACATTCATCTGTCACAACATACGAGGTGTGAAACAATCGGTTCAACCACCATGTTCTTCAGAGCTTAGTCCTAGAAAGGAGCTGAAGGTGTCCATACATTTTTTATGAATCAATTCTGCCCTTGTTAGATCTTCTGTTTCTTATTTTTTAAGTTACTTGTAATTCTTAGACTTGAGGCCTTACCATACCTGAGAGCTGTTAGGTACTGCTCTCTGTTGGACTCCCTGCAGTAACTTTTGTACCAGGTTACTTGACTGCCTCACAACTGTGCCTGGGGGTTGTGATGGACATTTATGTGTCCGCTGACTCACCTACAAGTTCAAACAATAAAGAATATCACTCACCAATATTATTTTATTCACAGATTTATTCAAGTGAATGAATAATAGGAGAATTATAACATTTTAAAAGAAAATTAGAGCTCTACTGAAAACTCAGACCATAAAATCTTTGGTGCTCAGAAAGAGGATTAATATCAAACAAAATTCCTACTGATTAAGCCAAAATCACTACAATGGAGTGCAGCTGCCAAGTGAACTGACACAGAAAATAACACCAGACACATGGAAAGAAGATTTTGAGGCCAGGTCATTAAATTGTCTAATCTATAAATAAGAAGCAAAATATGTATCTGTGAGACAATAAACAATATCCAACATGGCTGCAGTGTACTCCGTTTATTTGCCAGTTAGCCAGCGAGTGAGTAAGTTGGTTTAGAAAAGGCTCTTTATCAGTCTCATCTGTATCTCAATAAATAGCTTGAGAAAAAGAGTATCCGAGAAAAATATGTAATTTCTGGCAAGTACAAGGATTTGGAACTTGTACAGTTTGTAGCACAACTATTTCCACAGGTATATATTCAATTTAAGTTTTACAATAAGGAATATGTTACACTTGTGCTTATATACTTTTCCATGCCTTATATCTGAAGCTTTTGCCACATGCTGTGCACTGATAAGGCATGGCACCTGTATGGATCCTTCGATGAACCAGGTATGACACCCGTTGGCGGAAACATTTCCCTGAAATCATAAACAATGTGCATATGACAAACATCTTAAATAAATAAACTGGAAGTAATAACATAGTCAATACTTGGCAGATTACAGACTTACTATTTTGCATATCTTATGGGCCTTAATGCTTATTTATTGTGGATACAAATCTTCTGTTTCAAAGATAATCATAGCACAGAATTATAAATTATTTTCTTCTTGTTACTATTTTGTCTGCTCTTAATATAAAAGAAGAGTACACTATATTAGAAAATCCCTTCACCATTTCTTTTGTAAGGTTATGAAATGGGGTTTCTACTCTGACAGAAGGGAATAACTGCAAGTATATGAAAACAGAAAATATTTGGACCTAAGAGTAAAGTAATGATGTTACTCTTCTGGGTTAAAGTGGCAATGCTGGGAAGCGGAGAGATTCAAAAGGATTGGAGGGAAGTGAAGGCTAAAGGAGTAATTTTTGTTCATTTGCTAGTTCAATGAAGAAACATTTGATATGTATCTTATTTGTTTTTTGTTTTTTTCAGTGGTCATAATCTATTGTTACTACATAGTTTATTTTTCAATGATTACATTATTTTGCCATGTTAAAATTTTATTTCCACAACTGATTTCTTGCAGTGACTTTCTTTAACCATGGAAGTCATTCCCAAGAAACAGAATGAAAAACCAGGTGCCCATCCAACCAGCCACTAAAATTTCAGTGCAGCAACAGAACCATTTTACTTATTAATCCTGTTTCATTAGGTTTTAGTTTTGGTTTAGTATTTCTGTAATTTTTTATATATATACATGACCACATCTCCCCCCCCAAAACAATTGAGGAAAATGCAAATACATATATAAATGAAATCAAACTGTTTAACTATCACCAACATTTTATGGCCTTGCAATGCAGGCAGACAACTTACCATTTGAAGAATATTATTTGTTAGTGTATTAACACAGGACAGGTTACTGGTATATATATATATATATAGCACTTCCTTTATTCCACATCAAACATTATTTGTTAAAATACTAGCATGGCTGCAGTTGCATCTGAAATCAACATGCAACAGAGCACATTCTTAATTTATATTATTCAGTGTGTAAAATTACCGTAATACCTTCCTAGTATCAGACTAGAGGAATAATTCAGTCCATACTCAGTCACTGTATCGACTGTCCTCACAAACAAAAATATGAATGTTACATATGCAAAATGCAAGACACATACAGTTCAATTTTTGCTCTCTGTTACTGTTGCCACTATGTTGTCAAATGGTAACAATAGCTGACCACATAATTCAACTGTATGTAGCAGGATTATTATGTCACCATCTTATTTGCAGATCTAACACCGCTGCATATTTCATGGTAAGTAAAATAGGAAAACAAAGTGCACTTTACTAGAGGATCTAAGTACATTTTAGTTATGTTTCATACATACTAAGTACATTGAAAAAAAAATTACCTGAAAGTTTTAGCCACCAGGGTCCTTACTGAGGCTAATTAATTATTTTATACAAAATGCTGTTTTCAAGTTTATGATCACCAAATACTGAAGTGAAACTCATGAATATACAACACATGCTGGGATAATCATGCAATGCTTCCTCAATTTATCATTTAGAACACAATCTAAACACATACATTTAGACAGTGCCATTTTGCATACTTTTTCAAATAAGGATACTACTCACCACATGTCTCACAAGCAAATGGTTTTTCCCCTGTATGAATGCGCTGATGATTGTGCAATGTGGACAGTTCTTTAAAAGCTCGATCACATTCAGTGCATACATGTGGCTTCTCATCACTGTGGTACAGCAGATGCTTGTGGTAGGACTGTTGGAATGTAAAGGTTTTGCCACAAGTGTCACAACTATATGGAGTCTCACCAGTGTGAAGACGCTTGTGCTTCTTAAGGAAGTATTTTGTTGTGAACAATTTGGAACACACGTCACATTCCCATTGTTTGCCTTCATGTGTCTTCAAGTGCTGCAACAGATGCTGCTCCTGGAATGTCATTACATTTTCATATAAAAAAACTGGAGGCAATGAAATGTGGTTTCTGTCACCTCTGGGTTGATGAGTTAAAAGATTGGCAGACAGAAAACTACTGTGTCTTGCTATTCACTTTCAGACCAACCAGTTCCCTTAGAACCCATTTCAATATTTCCAGTCTTGGCCTTCCTCAGTAAAATGCCACAAACACATCTGGTTTTCTGTATCCCACTTATATGTCTAGATTATTATAACCTCCTTGATTTTCTATCCTAAATATACAAGATAATGAGCACAAACCACAGACTTTTACACAATTTATTCAAATCCCTGGTAAATTTATCTTAGATCTGAGTACCTTCTGAACACATTTTGTAAATCACTGGTAAATTTATGTTATTTAAGTGAAGATACTGTGTCCCTCAGCTATACAAAATAATCATTTAATAGAATTCTTACCATACACGAGCTTGAGAAGCTATTTTGTACAATGTTTTTGGGAAAGAAAGAGACTGTTTATTTTGGGAGGAATGACATTACCTTCCTGAATAATTTCAAACATAGGTGGCAGCTGAATTTCCTCTCTTCCGAATTGCTGTCAGGGTCCACTCTGCTGATGAATGATTTTCCTGCCATGAAAAAGAAATTACAGAGAACTCTCTAAAAATTCATTTCAACCTTATTATATTCATCACTCACACAGAGAGTCCACTAACCAAAATACCTGTCTGGAACACATACAAATCAACTGCAGAACACTAGTACTATCCAGATGAAGCAATATATACAGAAAATCAAGCATTTTCATCTAATATCAGAACAGAAAATTGTGATCAAACAAGAAAAGGTGCAATGTGTCACCTGGTATGCTAAAAGGGAGTTGATCTAACAGTAAAACATAATTTTTATTGTTTATGGGAATGATGCATTCTACAAGTCAGTCTCCTATAACTTGCTAGCATAATTCACTCCTGCCTACAGGCAGTGTACAAAGTATGAAACAAAGCTATCTGCTACTCATACACATGTAACTTACCTGATACTATACCACTGCTATGGGCAACTCTCAAATGAACCATTAAGCTTCCACGCATCTTGAATGCCTTTGAACAGAGATGACATGGAAATGGATGTTTCTCATCTAAAGTCCAACCTTGTTTGGTTCCATTTGAAGCTTGTATTCTGTGATTTGGTGTTTCACTGCCACTTTCCACACAGTGTACTAACTGGTGATGTATTGCTAATATTGATGAATCTTCAAATGAAAAACCACAAATATCACATCTTATAATTTCCGTAATTTCTTTATCTGTGGGTGAAAGTGGTGTCCGTTTTTCTTGTAATGGTGGCGGTACAGATGGCAAAGCTGCACACTGGACTGAACAGTTTTCCTGTGTTGTTTTTGGTATGTTTCCAGAACTGCAGTGATATGGATGATACATTGGCTTACTACCCAATGAAGAAGAAATATTTCTGATTATTGGTGATTGTGGTGTTTCCAGACATCCTGAGACTGTCTGTGAAGATTTCTTTGTAGTCTCCACTGTAACTGATTCAGTATTACTTTGTGTATATGAATGCAGAATAAAATTGCTGCTTTGATCAACAATACTGTATTCATAATTTGATTTATTATTACTTAACTGTTTTTCCCAAATTGCATTTATCTCAGGCTTCTTTGTTGCTTCATCAATGTCAGAAACAATATTATGACTCTGTTTATCATCAACATTTTCCATTCTTAGTTTACCTTCAATTTTCATTTCTTTGGTACAATATGCTGATGATCCTGGTGCAGTTTGCTGGTTTCTACAACAGGGGATGTTAGTGTGGTCATGTGGAAAAGGTAATTCTTTCATATTTTTTACTTTAGTGTTGAAATCTGCTTTAGTACATTTCAGTGGATTGTTAGTTTGTGAAGGTAAGGAATCCTGCTGCTTTAGCGATACTGTGGTACTGCTGGTAGAAGATACATGAGTGGGTAGGATGCTGTGATTTTCCTCATTCTGGTGTTGTACTGAATGGCTAAAGAGATGAATTGTAAACTTATCAAGACCAAACAGAATATCATGGCACACAGGACACACAACTTGACGGGTGGCAGCACTGATGAGCCCATAGCATAATGAATCAATTGTTTGGAAACCTGGTTGGGAGCATAGTGGGCATGTGAGAAGTACTGAAGACATTCTGAGTTGGTCAAGAACAGATTCTGGAACACAATAAATAAACAGAACAATTAGAAAAGGATAATGGTAATGCACATTCACACTCACAAAATATAAAACACCACCCTGTTTACAATAGCCCAAATTTTGTTCCAAATAACTTAGGCACAGCATATTTAATGTACAGTTCTGATCACAAATCGTAAGTCCCTTAAAATACTTAACACAGCCCTTCTTTAGACCTGCAAATATATGCCATCATAATGCATGTACTGAACAAACCTGAAAGTTCATATGATGTTTCCCATAAAATGTGCAAATAATGAAAATAAATATCTATAAATTCAAGGAATAAACAAACATTCGGTGTTGTGTCTATTTATATTACCATCCCTACATCTGCAAACAGCAGGCATCAACTAGGGAAGTGAGGATACATTATTCAACTAACAACATTTCCTAACATTCATCAAAAGTTCACTGGAAACAAAACTGCATACAATATAATTAAATGTGTCTTCATCATATTTCATTATAAATTAAAAGTTTGGTGAGAAATTTTACTGTCAAACAACACTGGAATAAGGAAAGAACATCAGTGTAATGACACACTTTCATCAAAACCATAAATGTTTTCATCATAGGCACTAAAATGGATTACTAAAGATGAACAAAAATACTAAAATCACACATATTACAAACATACACAATGACTGGACCTTACTTGGAATGTTTTATTTATGAAACTACTGCAGGAAAATTTCTATGGCTCAATATATACATCACTGGTGAATTAAATAGGTGTTTTATAGTAAGTATAATTACCTTTAAAACTGTAAAGCAGCTCAAAGAATCTACCATTGCACCTTCAATATTTTAACACCAGCACAGCAGCAAAAATCAACACAAATCATAAAAACTCAGGTTTAGTTTGTGGTGTAGTATAGATGATAAGTATTTTAAATTTTACTACTTAATAACATTAAAAATTCTTTATAACCAGATGGTAGTATAGATGATAAGTATTTTAAATTCTACTACTTAATAATATTAAAAATTCTTTATAACTAGATTGTTAAAATATTGACATGTCACTAATGTTAGTATTAGCTTGATTTCTTGTAGTGACAGAAATAAAATGACTAGGAAAGAATTTTAAAAATAGAACAAGGGAACTGGCCATCTGTTTGGATGCTGGGGGAGCAGTAGGAGGCTACACTACTAACTGTGTGAGAAACATTAACCCTAGAGGGGGCCAATTAAAATTATGGTGAAGGAGAAATTTAATCACATAGGCTAGAAGTTTAAAAAAGAGAAAGTACAAGCAAGGTAAGTGGAAATTTTGTGTCTCATATAATTTACATAGTTTTCATAACAAAAAAGATTACAGATTATCAGTTCCATTAACTTGCCTGCTTTATTTCCTGCAGCTCCCCTTTATTTATCCACAGCTTTCAGCAAATTGCAAAAAGATTGCAACAACATAGGCCATCATTTAGTTGGGAAAGTACTGCATTTTTTCAGTAAAATAGGAAAATTGAAATGGCAAGACATGATGATACAAGAGATAAAGCATGTAGCAAATTGGTTTGCTCCTAAACAATGACATGTACCACTTGAAAAAAGAATTTTCTCATTGTTTGTTGACTTTACATTTCCACCTCCTTCTTTATAAGATAGAGATTCTCTGCTTACAATTCTTGTAACTGGCTATAGGAATAACAGAGACTAGGCTAATATTGATTCAGTAAAAATAAAGACTATATATCTTCACCTGCTGTGACAACATTGTTATCGCTTTCATGACTCCAGAGTTTGTAGTTCTGAAATCAAATGTTCCGGCTGCTTTGTGATTAGTTCAGATCACGTGGCTATGCAACTGGTGACGACATTTCTTGTGAATAATTACAGAAGTAGTGGTTCTTGTGAATCGTGCAAAGATGTCTACACGTATGCAGTCAAGTTGCTGTAAATGAGTTGTTCCAGAATTTACACAATGGCAGACGCTCATAGCATTGAAGATCCACATTTGTTACATTTATTCGATGGCGAGCCTATACTTAATGTGTACAAGTCGGATGTTACAAACCT